GGATATTAGAGCAGAAGTGTAACATTTGGAGAAATGAGAAAAGAACACATTCCGTCTGAGTATATCAGATATTAAATGAAATCAGTGAAGTTGGTTGAATCCTGAGTATTACTGTTCTTGAACTATGTGTAGTTATACTATGTTGCTATTGAACTCATCAGGCTTTGATCACTCCCTTCCTCCCTCCATTCCTCCCTTTCCCCTGCTCTGTGTGTGTGTGTGTGTGTGTGTGTGTGTGTGTGTGTGTGTAAACCCTGTGTGCTTGTGGAGGCCAGAAGACAGCCTTGAGTGTTGTTGCTTAGGCATTGTCTACCTTATAGATGGCTTTTTAAATAATGATAGCAGAAAACACAAAGTTAGTTGTTTATTACAAGAGATTGAGCATATGAATATCTCTGGCTATAAAGAAGGAAGAAGAAATGTCATATAATCATGATTAATTAGGTTGATGATGCCATTAACAAAGTAGAGTTGTTAAGAGGGCATACAGGTTTGGAAAGACAGGTTTATTTTTACAATGTAGAATTTCGAGCATTTGGTGAGACAATTAGACATAACCAACAGAAGTATAGATCTTTGGCTCAAAAAAGAAGTGAAAGCTAGATTATAGATGGGAGAATTGTCTGAGTAAACACAATTATTGAATAAAATAAAATATCCAAGGGGAAAGAATGTGAAAGGGAAAAAAAATGCCAGCAAACTACAGGATTGATTGACATTAGCAAAGAAGACAGAAAGGTGGAATTCCAGTTCCTAAAAGCCAATGTATAAAATAATTCATGAAGAAGAAAATGTCTGCAGTGTAAATGCTGTGGGAATCAAAAACGCAGTTTGCCCTTCTTTTCTTCTCATATACTCTATATTCATCCTGTCATTAAGTCTTAATTTCAAAATTTTTTAAGAATTCTTTTTACTAAGGATGTAATCTCTTTCTTCTAGACTATGATGACTAGATTGTTTCTGCCAATCTCTTCCTAATACCAGAGTAATATTTTGAAACATAATTCTCTCCCTATGTTTTCCTGGATTGGCAATTTCTAATGATGTACTAATGATAGTTAAATTAATTCTGAAGTCTGGGAGTAACCTTTTCTCATGCAGTCCTCTTTGTCTCTCTCTCTCTCTCTCTCTTGTCTCTCACTTATCTTGAGCTCTGAAGGGAGCTGATTTTCTCTGTCTTTTCTTATTTTCATACTTTTTTCTACTCTATTCATTTTTTTAAAACTTAATTTTGATGTGTGTGTGTATGTATATGTGTTACATATATGTGGTACATGCAAGTGTGTGTGCAGTTATGTGTGCCTGTGTACTACATGTGGAGGCTAAAGGAAGACTTCAGCTGTTTTACTCTGTTGATCTTCCTCCTAATTCTTAAAGACCACAGTGAGGGCTGATGAGATGGCTCAGTATGTAAAGGCACTTTTCATCACACCTGCTGACCTCAGGTTGATCCCTAGGATCCACATGACAAAAAGAGAACCAACTCCTGCAGTTGTCCTCTGATCTCCAAGTGCACACCATGGCATGTATGCCCCCCACACACAAAATACCATGTGTAAATAAAATACTAGCTCTTTTTTAATGAAATATTTTGCCAATGCCTCTTCCTGTTTTTATTATAGTTCTTATGAACACCTAAATGTCTTTTGTAATGCTTGTTTTTTTAGTGGTTCTAAGGATCAAATCCAGGGCTTTTCATATACTGGGTAAATGTTCTACTACTGAGCTATATTCTCAGCCCAAACTCTTAGTGCTGTTGACTGAGAACTTTCATAAAGACTTTGTTTTAGTTTCATCATGGTATCTAGAAATGATTTAGCTGGCAGGAGATCTGATTTCATACATATCATAATAGAAATTTTATGTTAATATTTCTTAACTAACATTGTTTTCTTTGTTTACATCTCTCAATACTACTAGATAATCTGAAACAATTGTGAAGTACTGGAGAAAAATGCATGGAAAAATAATGAGTTTGTTTCAAATTAAGTAAAAATTCCCTTTAGTTCACATTGCTAGCAGACCATCTTAGTCCATCTGATTTCTTGGAATCTAAGGATACTTAAGAGACTAAATAGGAGAATTAGGGAGAGACTTTTTTGAAGTGCCCTCCATAAACTGAAGTTTCCAAAGACAGGAGTGTGTTTTAGTCATTTTTGTTTGTAACTTTTTAATAAGGCTTAGCTCCAAAAATTACACAATAGATAACTTTAATACATTGTTAATAAGCACCATAATTTTGTGGTATATCTTGAAAATGTTAAATCATATAGTAGTTGTCAATTAGTACCATTAAAAAACTGTTTCATGCATGTTATTAATATCCTTTGTTTTCCCTTTGATGTTTTTAAGGCATGATATTTATTCATTTAAAGTGTCCAAAATTTAAGCTGGGTATGGTGGTTCATGTCTTTAATCCCAGCACTCAGGAGGTAGAGGCCGGCAGATCTCTATGAGATTGTAGCCAGCTTGGTCTACATACCAAGTTCCAGGTCAGCTGGGGCTGCAGCGAGACCCTCTCTGTCTCAAAAAAAAAAAAAAAAAAAAACCAAAAATTTAATGCTTCCTTTTTTTTCTTTAAACTAGGAATCTGAAGAACTTTCTTCTGATGAAGAGATGAAAATGGCAGAGATGCGACCACCATTAATTGAAACCTCCATTAATCAGCCAAAAGTTGTAGCACTTAGTAATAACAAAAAAGGTTAGATGCTGAAGGAAAGTATTAAGGCTAGAAATGACCTAAATGTAATCTATAAACTTTGGGGAAGCAAACTAAATGTCACGTTATGTAAAACATTTGGTAACAAATTTTTAAAACTGCTTTTCTAAACTGGTCTCTCTCTCTCTTTTTTTTTTTAGAGAGAGAGCTACTTTTTTTCCCCCTATTATTTTTATTTTATATGTATGAGTGTATTGCCTGCATGTATGTGAGTGCACCCATGTTGTACAATGCTGCGGAGGTCAGAAGAGGGCTTCGGATTCCCCTGGAACTGGAGTTAAGGACGGTTTGTAGCTGCCATGTGGGTGCTGGGAATCGAACCTGGATCCTCTTCAAGAGCAGTCAGTGCTCTTAACCGCTGAGCCATCTCTCCAGCCCCAGATGTTCTCATTTTTAAAGAAAAATTTTCGTAGATTTTTTTTTTCTCTCAAGCAGGTTTACTTATAAGGGCATGGCATTAGAGGTCCATAATTCTACATACATTCCATTTCTGTTGCTTACCTACTGAGTATGTGATCCTTATGTTACCTAACTTCATCCATCCATGCATAGCTGACTTTCATTGAGGCTAGCGAAGGATTTTTGTATATAAAGTTTTTAGCACAGTACCTGATACATAAGAGATGCAGTTGTTGTTTTACTCTTACATATCCAAAAAATGGATTTAAAGCCCCCTCCCCAACTCTTGCCAGCTAAGTTTTCATGTAATACAACCTTAGTCTCTTAGAAATGAAATGAATTATAGGGAATACCTGTCTCTTAACAAACCTCTTGCCACCAGTGCCTGATTATGTTTACGTTATCTTTGCCAAATGTTTATTCAGCCCTTTAACTTTATGGCACCAATTTTAATATCAGTGTGGCATTTTGCTAGGTTAGGTTCATAGTGATAAGGTAGTGATACTCAGAAATTGTTGAGCACTTTTTAGTTTCTTAGGTATTACTATGCTGATATTTTCTTACCTTATCATCATAATAGCTCCCTAAGAAGGAAGACTATGTCTAGCAAAGAACTTAAAAGCCATCTAATTTAACAGTAAATTTTATAAATTTAAGAATCTTAAGATTCCATTACCTTGAGGCTATGATTACCGGAATATTTGAGCTATGCTTCTAAGCTCAGAGAACAACTAAAAAAACAAAACAAAACAGTAAAAACATTTAAAATTCATAAGCTCCTCTATTTCCCTGACTTGACTAGAATTAAAGAGTTTTTTTTAATGGCTACCTTAGAAAAGTGCTGTTTACACTTTTATCTTTAGTATAATATAAACACTTTATTTTTAACTGTCAGGTGTGCAACTACCTCACATATTCAGAGATTACCACTTAGAAACAGTTCTATGAAATGCTTTAAAATGAAAATGGAATAAGGGAGCAGTTGACCTTTAAAAAAATCTCTTGATTTGTTTTATTGATTGCAGTGCTCATTCTTATTACCAAAATAGATTGAAAAAAATTCCACATTCATATGAAATAATTTCTTACCCAGGTAACTATAGAAAGTTTGTGAGCTATAACTATATTTTTATTCTGTATTTTTAATATTGTGAGTAGAAAGCATACTTGCTAAAATGAATTGATATCTTTTGAAAAGAGTGCATATCATTTTGTCAGTAAGCAAACCAAATTATGAGTAAACTTAACTTTGATTACATTACAAAAAAAATAGTATCTCAACTTAAAAAAATTTTTTTTGAGGCAGAGTCTTACCATATATCTATGGCTGACCTGGAACTCACTATGTAGACCAGGCTGACCTTGAACTCACAGTGATCCACCTGCCTCTGCCTCCCAAGTGCTAGAATTTAAAATTACTTAATTTTTTTCTATATTTAGGAGTGAATTTTCAGAGATGCCTCTGATTATCTAAAATTAGTTTATCATTTCATGAATATTGAACCAGTACAAAAGTATTTTTGGAACTTCTTGGTGAGTTTATCATTGATCTTAAATGTTTTATTGTTCTTGTTTCAGATGATACAAAGGATACAGATTCTTTATCAGATGAAGTCACACACAATAGCAATCAGAATAACAGCAATTGTTCTTCTCCATCTCGGATGTCTGATTCAGTTTCTCTTAATACTGACAGTAGTCAAGACACCTCACTCTGTTCTCCAGTGAAACAAACTCATATGAACTCCAAAATCAGGTAAACAGTTTCACAAATAGATACTATACAAGTGGTTCAGGTAGTATTTTTTTTTCCTCTATTTTATAACTAACTGAATAATTGTTATACATTTCTATTTTAAAATTGTTTACATGAGGAAGGAAAATAGAATCTTAATTTCTAGATGAAATGAACATTTATATAGTATTTCTAGGCATTACAACATACAAGCAGCCTGTCTGAGAAAATTCAGATTGAATAATTATTTTTATACTTAAAAGCTGTATTAGTTACTTTTTGTTGCTGTGATAAAACACCATGACCAAAATTGGCTTAGGAAAGAAAGTTTTATTTTGGCTTATAGTTCCAGAGGGAGAGTCCATAATGGCAGGGGAGGAATGACCACATAACTAGAACAAGAAGCTGAAAGATCAGGTCTTCAACTATACCACTTGCTTAAAGCAAAGTGAACTGAAACTGGGACAAGGCTATAAACTCTCAAAGCCCACCCTAGTGATTACTTCCTCCAGCAAGGCTCCATATCCTAAAGGTTCCATAACTTCCTCAAACAGTGCTACCACCTGGGGATCTAATATTCAATACATGAGCCTATGTGGGATATTTCTTATTTAAACTACCACATTCCACTCTCTGGCCCCCATAGGCTCCTGGCCATATCATAATGTAAAATGCATGTAGTTCAACTTTGGAAGTTCCTTTAGTCTTTAACTGTCTAAGCACTGTTCAGAAGTCCAAAGTCTCTTCTGTGACTCAGGGCAATGTGACCAACCCCCATAAGATGAAAAAGGTTTTAAATTATGAACTTTGAACATACAGATATTTACATTACCATTCCAAAAAGGGAGGAATGGGGGCAGATAGTGAGGAAATACTGGACCAAAACCAGACTCAAACCCAGAAGGACAAATACCAAATCCTGTATCTCCATGTCTGGTACCTGGGGCATTAGTTTTAAAGGGCTTAGATGGTGCCATACCTCCAGCTTTGCTGCCTGCAGCATATATCTCCCTCTTGAGGTATTTTCACTCCCTGTATGCAACATTCCTTGGCAAATGTCTCATGGCTCTGGCATCTCCAAAATATTGGGGTCTCCACTGCGACCCAGGCTCTACCATCATACCTTTACACAGTGGCCTCTCACGACCCTTTTGCAGTGACTTCAGCACTGCCACACATTGCCTGGTCACAGAAGCTCTCTGAAACCACAGAGGAAGAATCCACAGCCCCCTCACTTTTCCATTTTTCTTGCCTTTAAAGTCAGTACTATGTTGATGATACCACCACAGTTGGCTGACAGCTTGGGATGGAGCCAAGTCCCTTGGGTCACATTAGCAATAACTTTTTTTTTTTTTTTCTTTTTGAGACAGGGTCTCCCTGTAGCCACAGCTGTCCTGGAACTCACTATGTAGACCAGGCTGGCCTTGAATTCACAGAGATCTGCCTACCTCTGCCTCCCGGGTGCTGGGATTAGAGGCATGTGCCACCACCCCCAGCAGCAATAACTTTTGTATGCTTAAACAGTTGCTTACTAGGAGCAGAAAACTCCTTAAGCCCTTTTTTACAAGTTGGAACTTGGATGGGTGGAGTCTTGCTCTGAAGTTACCCTTCCCATTGTTCCAGTGCAGAGTAGGAGGCCTCTCCTTAATGGTACTAATCTATTTAACAGTTGTTCCTTCTTTTCCAGAGAATGCTGTAGCTGTAATATGTTTTCTAGTGTTCTTTTTCTCCAAACTGTACATTTTTATTTCTTTTTGCCCCACTTGCCCTTTTTACAGTGTACATTTAAATATAAGAGTAAATATGAGTAATCATGCTACAGACCCGGTGTTATGCTGTCTTGAAATTTCCTCTACAAAATAAATTAGTTTTACTTTTTTTCAGTTATTGTTTTTTTGGGTTTTTTTTTTTTAACATTACTTTTTAATTTAGCCTCAGGCAAGTTCTTAGGACACATACAGAAGGCAGCCAGATTCTTTGCCAAAATACACATGAATGGCCTCCAGCCCAAATGCTAATACAGTCTTTGCTTCCTTCTGAAACCTTTGGAGCTTGATCTCTAACTTTCCACATTACTCTTAGCACTATTGTCTTCCAGGCTTCTACCTGAATGGCCTGTTAAGCTCTGTTTACAGCATTCAACCACTTTTTTAGTCCAAATTTCCAAAGTCTTCCCTATTCCTCCCAAACTTAACATGGTCAAATTCTTTATAGCAACAATCCCTCTCTCTGGTACCAACTAATATATTAGTTATTTTCTGTTACTGTGATAAAACACCATGGCCAAAAGTGACTTAGGTGAGAAAAAGTTTGTTTTGGCTTACAGGTCCAGGAGGGTCCTTTATGATGGGGGAGGCATGGCAGCAGAAAGCTGAGAGAGAACATTTTTTTTTTGTTTTTTGTCTGTTTGAAGCAGTGTCTCCCTGTAGCCCCAGCTGTCCTCGAACTTGCTATGTAGACCAGGCTGGCCTTGAACTCACAGAGATCCTCCTGCCTCTGCCTCCCAAGTGCTAGAACTACAGGCATGCGCCACCACGCCCACCTAATATTTCTAACCACACACAGAAAGCAGAGACAGTGAACTGGAAGAGAGACAAAGCCATAAACTCTCAAAGCCCACCCCAGTGATGCACTTCCTCTGGGAAGGTTCTACATCCTAAAAGTTCCATAATCTTCCCCAAACTACTACCATCTGGAGACCAAGTGTTCATATACATAACCAGTGTGCAACCTTTCTCATTCATACTTCTACAGAAATGCTGAATCGTGGTGTAGGTAGATGCCATTGAAGGATTCATTCACATACTCTTGACTGGTGCTATATATTTGACCTCAATTTTGTAGGAAAAAAATTCTCTGAGTTAAATGTATGTATTAACCTAAATTCCTTTAGCCTAGTATTTAGCAGAAGTTTAAAATTTTATTACTGAAGCTATCAAGAAACTTGGTTATCAAAGTGAGATCAAGGTAAGATCATGCCATTCAGTTGTGCATTCATTGTATTGATTGGAGTCTGGTTAAGAAAGATTTAGGCTGGTACTTGAACCAAATACTGATTATACAGAATGTTAAACCATCATTAGAGTTAAATTGTTTTTAAGTTGCAGATAAAGTAAAATTTGTTATTAATCATTTTTGTCTAGTGCTAAGGACGTAAATGCAATTATTATATATCACCAAGTAGAAACAAAAATCCAATTGTTATATATCACCAAGTAGAAACAAAAATATTTCTATAATTTTGAAATGATACATTTCTAAAATATTTTCCAAGTACATTATAGCCACTAAGAATAAAGATCAGGTATAGTTTCTCTTTTGCTCCCTTTTATATACTTAGTTTAGAACAGGTTGTTTATACAGGTATTTGCTTTAACTTCATTATTTGAATATTTGAACTTAATAACCTTTTGTAAATGTTAACCTGTGGTTAATACAGTTAAAAATGTAAAGTTTCAGAATTACTTATAAATAGTCCTGTGCCCTTTATTTAACTACTTAAGTTATTTTTCTCTCCATATACCTTTTCCATGATGAAGTATTTCGAGTTTTAGCACTTTTGTGAAGAAATGCAAGAACTAAAGAATATACATAATTCTGCTTTTGTTCTTAGCTGTACTAAGCTATTTTGTGACATATTACATTGAGCATATTGATGAAAATTAATTGATAATTATGAACTACTTTGTTTTTTCACTTGTCTCTAACTTAATATAAATCTATATTACTTGACAGAATATTTTTATTTAACTGTTACAAAGAAATACAAAAATTGGAGCTTGAGAGTGGTTAAGAGCACTGGCTGCTCTTGCAGAGGACCCAGGTTCAGTTCCCAGCACCTACATAGCAGCTAACAACCACTCTTAACTCTAGTTCCAGGGGATTTGGTGCCCTCTTTTGGCCTCTGTGGGCATTGCACATATGGGGCACTTACATACGTGTAGGCAAAACACTCATATGCATAAAAATAAAGTTTTTAAAACTTAAGATACAAAAATTATACGTATCAGTAGGTGTGGTGATGTTCAGATACATGTATACAATAAAGGTTTTCACCTGAGCTCTATCAGTTATTTTAACTTGTGTTACCAATATATTAGTTATTAATGGTCCTCTGTTACCAAGAAAAGTCTACTTTATTATTTTCTGATCACATTTTCTTTATTTTAGGCAAGAAGATGAAAATTTTAACAGTGTTTTACAAAATGGAGATATTTTAAACAGCTCACCAGAGGAAAAATTCAAAGTTCGTGATAAAAAGGATTTTAACTTACCTGAATATGATTTGAATATTGAAGAACGATTAGTTCTAATTGAGAAAGGTGTTGACTCAAAAGCCACATCTGATGAATCTCACAAATTAGACCATATCAACATGAATCTTAATAAACTTGTGACTAATACCTTTCAACCAGAAATAATGGAAAGATCAAAAACACAGGATATAGTGCTTGGAACAGGTTTTCTAAGTATTCATTCTAAAAGGGAAGCTGAGCACATGGAAAATGGAAATGAGTATCCTAATTTGGAATCCATAAATAAAGTAAATGGTCATTCAGAAGAAGTCGTACAGTCTTCTAGTAGGACTGAACAACAAAACACCAACTCTTCTGTTGATGTGGGTATCTCTAAAAGCACTGAAGATCTCTCCCCTCAGAAAAGTGGTCCAATTGGACCTGTTGTGAAATCTCATAGTATAACTAACATGGAGACAGGAGACTTAAAAATTTATGACATTCTTAGTGATGATGGTCCTCAGCAGCCAAGTGCAACAGTTAAAATCACATCTGCTATAGATGGGAAAAATATAGTCCGGAGCAAATCTGCCACACTGCTGTATGATCAGCCATTACAAGTATTTCCTGGTTCTTCTTCATCATCTGATTTAATATCGGGTACAAAGACCATTTTCAGATTTGATTCAAATCATAATCCTGAAGAGCCAGATATAATAAGAACCCCCACAGTAAGTGGCCCACAGTCTACACCTCAAATATATGGTCCTCCACAATATAATATCCAATACAGTAGCAATGCTGCAGTCAAAGACACACTGTGGCACTCCAAACAGAGTCCACAGATGGATCCTGTCAGTTTTCCTCCTCAGCGCCTTCCTCGATCAGAGAGCACAGAAAATCACAGTTATGCTAAACATTCTGCCAATATGAATTTCTCTAACCATAACAATGTTAGAGCTAATACTGCATACCATTTACATCAAAGACTTGCCCCAGCAAGACATGGAGAAATGTGGGCTATCTCACCAAATGACCGACTAGCTCCTGCAGTAACTCGGACTACAGTTCAACGACAAAGTAGTGTGTCCTCAACAGCTTCTGTAAATCTTGGTGATACAGGTTCCACAAGGTGTACTCAAATTCCTGATGGAGATTATTTATCATACAGGGAGTTGCATTCAGTGGGAAGAACTCCATTGATGTCAGGATCACAGAGACCTCTTTCTGCACGAGCACACAGCATTGATGGGCCAAGTACATCAAGGCCTCAGAGTGCCCGGCCCTCTATTAATGAAATTCCAGAAAGAACTATGTCAGTTAGTGATTTCAATTATTCACGGACTAGTCCTTCAAAAAGACCAAATGCAAGGGTTGGTTCTGAACATTCTTTATTAGATCCTCCAGGAAAAAGTAAAGTTCCTCACGACTGGCGAGAACAAGTACTTCGACATATTGAGGCCAAAAAGTTAGAAAAGGTAATTAAATGTGAGGTTTTTATTCCCCTCTATGAATTTACTTACTTTCTGTAGAAATATGTGTCATCTGTTGTTTTTTTTTAATCAGTGAAATAAGATACTCTAAATTATTATGTACTTACAGTCTAGGAGTTCTTCCCTAGTGCTAGAAACAGTGTTCTGTGTTTCATCTTAAGCCAGAGTAGGTTAGATGGCTGTGTAAGCTTCTTTCTCTTCTCTTAATCCTCAGTGTTTACTTTTGTCTCTTTTAGACTGCACACATACTAGAAATGATTCCTGTGCTCAACTGTGTCCAGCATTCTCTGACCTGAGCACTACTAATGATGATTATGTAAATACTGTAAGAAAATATCAGTTAACTGTATAGTTTCTGAAATAACAGGAAATATATTTGGAAGTCTAAATATTTCATCAAAAATTTTTCCCAGTCCATATTAAAGGAACTAACATTGTCACTGACACAGATGGCTCTGGCATGGCATTTATTCTTGACTTTGCTAAACTGCACTTCTGATGTTAAGTGTTTCTGTGACTCTAGTACAACTTGGAAATTGTTAGTAAAATAACTAATGCTCGTATTCACAACCTTATTTGTAGCTCTGTGTCTTTTGAATGGAGTTTAAATTAGAAAACAGAATTCTGTAAAATTGCTGTTAGTGCATTGTCATGTGGCCCAAATATGTATAGAAAAATGTTAGGGCTTTTATATATCTCACTGGATTTTATCCAATTAATTGCCATCCTCAGCTGTAGCTGTTCCATCTTCATCTGTTTTGTTTGCTGTAACTCTGTAACACAGTTGAGGCTATTTGCATTTGTTTCATTTTGTTGGGAATTTTAATTTTTCTAAGGCTGAGATGAGGAGGAATGTAGGTGTTTTATCGGTAGACTTCTGTTGACCATGTAGAACTAGATTTTAGAAAGAAGAGGCTAGAGTCAAAGAAATTGATTTATGAGACTATTTTAGAGATTCAGATAAAAAAATGAAATGTCTATTATTTAACAGTAGTGTTGAAATACAGGAATAAATTCAAGAGACATTTTAAATATTTTGTTACTTTTATGTGTGTGAATGTATTGCCTGCATGTATGTAAAGTCCACCTGTGTCATGCAATGCCCAAAGAGGTCAGAAGAAGGCATCAGATTCTCCTGGAACTGGAGTTAAGGATGGTTGTTATCCACCATGTGGGTGCTGAGAGTTGAACCCAGGTCTCGTGTAAGAGTAGCCAGTGCTCTTAATCTCAGCCATCTCTCCAACCCCCCAAGAGACTTTTTAAAATTGATGTCCTGAGAATTTACTTCTGATTGAATACTTCTATAATCAACTATTGCAAAAAAATGGATGAAGCTTGAGGTTTGTGCCTTGAATAAGCAATTGTTGGGGATGTTACTATTAGTGAATATAGAAGAGGGGTTGCAGATACAGAGGAAGGTAATTCTATATAGTTCACGTCTTAAATGACATGTTTTTCCCACTTTGGTATTTGACAGTACTGTGCCTAGTCTTTGAAGCAATTTACAGCTAGCTCCTTGTTCAGTGTGCCCTTTAGCTTTCTTGTTTTCCATTACATAAATATATATTTATAAATTTGCCATACAATTTCTTGAAAAATATATGACAGTAGTTGGGCCCTGAAAGGCAAGAATTAATTCAGTAAAACTAATAGAAGCCATATTAGAAATAGGCTGAATACAAATCCATATCTGACAGGTAGCTCTCCATTTCTAAAGATACCTATATGGTACTTGGTTAGGAGTACTCTTTCTCATACATGTTTGCCAAAGACACTTACCTCCCAGATTACCAAATGACTAGTGAATATACTGTGGTATATTCCAGCTGACTGATAGAAAGTACTTCTAGCAAATACCGGAAGCTTATGCTGCTGTTACCTGTAACTCTGCTGTATTCCTTCTAAACTCTATTCTTTGGCTTTTATTTTATTGTCTCTCCTCCTTCCCTGTCTCTTCTAGCCCCTCCTCTCCCATTCCTCAGCTATAGATAACCTTGAACTTCTGATCCTCCTGCCTGTACCTCCCAAATTCTGGGATTACAGGAATGGACCACCACATTCGACTTCCAGGGTTTTTGTAAATACAGTCTATATCTGCTTCTCTCTAGTCTTAAAAAGTATTTACATAGGAGATTGCTTTTACCTGTTTTTTGTGTTATTTATGTTTCAGTCTCACTACACTGTGTAGTCCTGGTTGGCCTGGAACTCACTGTGTTAGAACAGACTGACTCCAAACTTTACAGAGCTCTACCCACCTCTGCCTGTAGAAGTGTAGGTTTAAAGGCATGCACTACTGCACCCCGCTCGCCTATTTTTATGTAAAAGTTTTGTCTTCAGAAATTTTGCATTACCAAAAATGGATTCATTTTGAGCACTGTAAAGATTGAGGCAGACGATTACAAGATTGAGATCAACCTAAGCTGTATAGGAAAAAGTTTCATCTTTGATAATAAACACTTAAAAAGAATTTATAAAAAAGTACATACTACTTCTCCTTGACTTTTTAAGTATCATATTTAGACAAAAGCATGCAGAATCTTCTCTTGCCTACATGGTAAAGTAATTGGACAAGTTAACTTCAGTTCCTTTACCTTAGTTGTCTCCTCAGTAAAATAGGTGCAGAGTACGAGGCTACTTAATCTAGAATTGTTTTTAAAAGTTAAGTAAGTTAATATATATA